CTGCTCTGAGGTCTCCACGCAGCCTTCTCCAATTCTTTAGTCCCTGATTTGAGTAACTGTTGAGCTTCACCTTTATTTGGAGCATTTCTGCCTGTATTTCTGTGTCTCTGAGCCTCCCCTCCAGAAGGCACATGCGTTTCAAAGTCACTAACAACTATATTGACTAAAACAGACGTGAGGCAGAGCTGGGCAGCTGCTTGGTCTTCTGACAGAAAGTGATTGATGGCAACTCAGGGCAAGGCTTTCCGAAAACCACTATGTCCCCTACACACGTGTCACTCTCTAATGATTTTACCCAAACCACGTTTCTCTGGTTTACTTGGGGGAGTCTCACAGGAGTCTGCCACTGTTTTCCAAGTGTGTCACCCCACACTAAGGGGACACATACATCTGCTCCTCATTACCCCCCAAAAGTTGCAGGGCAATTAATTTGCCCCCAGAAAATTAGACTACCTCGAAAATGCAGTTGCTTTTCTGTGAATACTCAGATGATTGCATTAAAAGTGGTGAAACTTCAATAAACCATCACTCACAAGAAGATCCCACCAAACACCTTTGAGAAATACTGCATGAACTTCTATGGGAAGGTGGCAAACTCCCACACCTAATGCAGCAGCACAGCTCTGGCTGCTCCTCAGCTAAGAGTGCTTGGCTCATATAGCAAAGGTCTTGCAGGAGGTTAATGACACTGGGCAGCTGAATGCATTTACTTTACTATTTTGGTCTGCAACTTCCAGCAGAGTAAAAACCAACACATCCGGTAAAGCTTATGTACATACTTCGGGGTGCAGTTTGATGTTAAGCTCATCCAGCCCAACAGACAAAAGGTGGGATGGCTCCACTTCACCTACACAACCAGTCTTCCCTTTCCCACTGTTACAGGTATTCCTGTAGCTCCAGTTCAGGGAACAGAACCGACCAAAACCAACCCAAAAAACAACCCAGCTCCAAAAAACTAGAAATGCAATAAGTCCACCCTCTCCTTCTCCCCAGTTCAGTGCCACCTTATGTACCTGAACAAAGTGACCTTGCAGTTAGAAGGTTGTCAGCACCCATTCAAGGGCAGTGGTTAAAGCACTTGGCTGGAGCTGGGCTGTTTCTTCTGCCAGCACTCAGCTCTTACACTGGCTTAGCCGCAGAGTGAAATTGCTGCCTGCTTAATTTCAGTGTTATGAGTCAGGATAGCACAGCCCCTGCTCTTGCAGGTCATAGGACTGGGCACTGGGTAGGGTCAGTGGGAGCTGTGCTTCCATGGCACAGCTCTGAGCTGGATTCTGCCCGTTTGCACCATAGTGTGGCTTTTGAGTATGGACTACACCATAAATCTTTGCCCAGGTGTTTTTGCAGGACGGGACATTGAACACAAATGTCATACTTCTGGGGATCCTGCTGCAATCCCATTTAACTGAAAATCTTCCATCAATATAGTCTTGGCAGTCCTGGGGTAAAGGTTGGACTTGATGATCTTAAAGGTCTTTTCCAACCCGGTTAATTCTGTAATTCAGTGGGAGCTGAATTGTCTTCATGTTCCTTGAACACTCTCAACCATCCCGAACTTGAATCCTCTACGCTCAGGAGAGTATCATCACTGATAATAGTAGTGCTCATGAGTTTTTAAAGGAAAAGTGTCTGATTCAGCTGAAGACATTTAAAGTTACAACATTTTTCATGTACTAACTGCAGTTTGTTTTGTTTTTACAGGCGGGCACACAACAGAAATCCTGAGGCTACTGAGCTGTTTGTCAGAGTCATACTCTCCTAGACACTATGTTTTTGCAGACTCAGATACGATGAGTGAAGCTAAAATACATTCTTTTGAACAAAAAAGGGCTGAAACATTCTCCAATTCCCAGGTAACTTGTTCAAGATGCTTTTGTACAACAAAACGATCTTAACATGCAATTCTAATTCAAGGTAATTTAGAAGTGATTCTTTAAAAGGATATTTTTAATACCAGCAGGTGCTTTTGATTTTCTAGGTATTGAGAATCACTTGCACTAAAGCTCAGCTAAAGGTGCCATTCTGTACGTACTGCTTTGTACATTTCTAAAAGCAAACTAAGTAAACATGATTAAAGCTTTACTAAAGAGACACTGAAAATTGAAGTAAATACACCTAAAAATAGCAAATGCCATTCTTGCTGCCAGTTTTCACTTTCTCTTAGGTGGTCTTTACCTCCTGTTAACACGTTAACCCCATTTAAAGCAACGGGGGAACATAACTGTAGTGAACGTGGCTGTACAAGAAAAGCATGTTGGAAATAAGCACCCTTTAATCTTGTAAACCAGCTAGCCAAAGTGCTATTTGGAGCTACAAAAATACTGGGGCAGGAACACAGTGGGGCGTTTTTAACTGTCTTTAATTTGAGTTTGGCATTTCCCTCAGTGACATAATGTATTTTTTTAAAGAAATTGTATCTACAAATGTTTTCTCTAGAACAACCTCAGTTGAAATGGTATCACTTTTGTGTGTTTCTAGGCTGTGTTTTGGTTGGATTTTAAAATCAAGCTTTAGTTACACGTGCTTTAGAAGTATGCAATACCTCTTAAGGTCAGATTGTTTTCTGGCTGATGACCTGAGCAAATGCTGAACTCCTAACAAGAAGGGAAACGTCATGAAAATATCCTGTTCCTCTCTTTTATCAGATGTGTTCTTGCTTTGAGCTAGTTTGCTGTATGATTAACAGACAGCAGCATAACGCTGGTGACTTGAAATGTGATCTGATGGCCACGGACATGACTAGAAAGTTTGTATTTTTACATAGGAATGGGAATAAGTACAATTGAAATGAACATTCTGACTATGAAAATCTTAGTCCTTCTGAACAAGCACTGCAACATACAGTAAATTGATTATTTATGTGGTATTGATTCCCTATGGTGCACGTTGCCTTCAGCAGCGCTACTGGGACAAGACATTGTAGTGCCAATGATTTCCAGAACAAACCCTTTTAATGTAAACCTGAGGTGAGCAGTAGGGCTCACAAAGGAAGGACGTTTTTAACTTCCATTACCCCACTTCCACCTCAGGAGATGAAGCACAAGCAGCTGAATCCAGTGGGGATGACTTGAGTTTCAAGTGGAACGTGGCAGTTCCTTCTCTCATCGTGCAACAGGGATGTGACCACAGGTATTTCCTGTTCAGGGGAATCTTGCTTTGGTGATTAGCCATTCTCATACTCATGTGAAAAATGCCCAACCCAAAATTATTAAATATATTAAAAATACATATGTTGACTATTAAAATTATGCAGTTTTCCACTAGTTCACTTAGTTGTGCTAAGCAGCTTTCTTTCATACCCCTTCCAGCTGCTAACAGATCATGTAGTTATATTTTCCTTCAACATTAAAAGCCAGAGGAACATTTTTGGCTGCATCTGATTTTGCTGTCTGGATAACAGATGCTCATTTTCCTTTGACCATTCTTTTTCCACTGGGCAAAAGTATCTAGAGTGGAAGGTAAATTTTGGGAAGTAAAGGTCACATGGCCATAACATATATCTGCTAACTTTCAGAGTGTGCTTTTGAGTAGTATGAGTTTTAGCACTGAGGATGCTGCACGTCAGAAAGCATTTCAAAATCATGTGTTAGCAGCTCTGAATAAACACAAGGAAAAAGTCTGGAAGCTTCAACCCATTCCCTTTCTCATCTTGTCAAGGAATTGAATTCTTACAGAACTAAGGACTGAAAAAGTTACAGTAATGACCTAAGAGCAAATCAAATACTTCTCTTTTTGATCTGTGGTCTAGCCCTGTTGTAAAAGCTACAGTAGTCAGGGAGAAGGAAGGGAAGCCAGAATGAGTGTCTTGCTTAAAAGAAGCAAAATGTTGCACCTCTACCCACTAAATCTCTTGGGAAAAAGCATAAAATCCATCCAGGCTCCTAGGAAAAGGCTCTGCTCCTGCTGTCACTTGCCCCCTTGTTCTCTGCTGCCCTCTCAGCCTGTAACACAACTCTTCTACACGGCTGCTTCTAGAGCTGTTACTCAGGAAACCTGCTGTGCTCAGCACAGAGAACCTGCTTCAGCTCCTGCCTATTCTAACAGCAGAAAGACAACTTACTTGCTGACTGACAACATGAAGTCTTCACTGGATCATATACCCCCATTTCTTATGTCTGAGATGAGCAAGAGGATTAACTAACCTTTACATAATGCTCATCTGACCATGTGTTCTTGTCAATTTTATATCATGCTAAGAAATCTTGTTCCTCAGCATGAAAAAGAACTACATAACCCAGTTTATTTGCAAGCATTTCAGTATATTCAGTTGAGTATATTATGATAATTCACAGCAGAGGCAGTTTTCCACCAGCTTTTCCTTGCATGCTTGCAAAACAACAGTATTTAACTAGGTAAAGGACTACATCACGGTACCCAGTCAGCCATTACAGGCTTGCCAGTTTGGAACATTTGTCTTCAACAAGAAGGACGTAAGGAAAAATAAATACAATAATATGACACTATGAAAGATAGAGGAGCAATTTCTCTCTTTCTGGTATCAGACATACTATGCAGTTTTCCAGCCAAAGATGCAGGAGGTGCCTTTGTCTGGAATACTAAGAGAACTCCATCAGACAAAAGGCTGGGGTTGCAGAAGCATCTGGCAGTAGCTTTTAAACAAACAACCAACAACAACAATCAGACACTGACATGCAAAGTTTCAAGCATGTTTGTCTATAGTCTTAAAAAATCAGCTTGAACTTTACTTGCATTCTACAGGTAAATTCTTACTTCGATGCTATTTGGAGTCCCTGCCAAGTTTTGCTGAAACTGGGTTGTTTGGGTTTTTTTTTTTATGATGAGGAAAATCACATCCATTTTTTTTTGGCAAATATTGTTTAACACCATTCTTACAGTAAAGGGAACATCTGGATAGTGCCACTGAAGCTTGATCTGCTTAAAACTTACCTTATCATACCTCTATTTCTTGCCAGACTGGAGTCTATGCAAGGGTCTAAACTCCACTTATGGCATTGCTTTTTATCACTCGAGCTCTTCCAAAGCCTTAGAAACCAGAGGCAGTGATAACCAGAGTCCTGTTGAATGGGGAGAGCAGGGAGCATATTTGGTTTCCCATATTCTGTTGTCAGACTAATGCAATCAGACTTTCAACACCTGCAAAGAAAACATAAAGCAACCAGTTCATAACATCTGGTAATGCCTTCCTGTATCACAGCAATTAAAGAACCCGATCACAATGAAACAGGATAATTTCAAGAGAAAATTAACTTAATATTCTGCATTTAGAGGCGTTGGGGTTTTGTGTTTCGGTTTTTTAGTCTACCATAGATATATATATATAAAGCCTCAGTTATTGCTGTTCAAGACTGATTTGTATTTACTGTACAGCTATTGGCAACATCCTCTTTCCTGGGCACACATCACCAGGGCTCAGCGACGATGATTAGCAATGGTGTATTTGAATGACATTTAGAGGCTCTCACTCCCAGAGTGGGAGTGATCTGCTCTCCCACATGAAGCGAGATGGTGACCATTGTCCAGATATAAACACTATGTCAACATCAATGAACAAGGGCATTGCAGCCATTACATTTGTCTTTCATTTAAACAGTCACAAGTTCCATTGGCATCAGGACTACCTTCTGATACAGCAGCAGTTCTTAGGTGTAGTTCCTTTGCATCAAGGTAAAAGGCATCTGCAGAGAGTGCAGGAAGCCCAGCTCCTGTTAACTGCCTACAGCATCCTGAGACAAAAAGAAAACATGTGCTTTATTAATTCAATACCTTTTACACACAGTGAATAATCTCTACTTTTTCCCAGGGAAAGACAAAGAAAGCTATTTCTTAAACTTATTTTTTTATTTAATGATAAGATGCTTTTTCTTGTTTCTTTATGCAAATACGCATCTTGCATATCTTTTCACTGCTCATTGGGCCCTCATTTTATGGCTAATGATATTTGCTGTTAGATATTTAATAGTATGCACCGGACATTAACTGAGAAAAGTTGTTAGGTTTTATTCAGTGTAAATCCACGAGGAATTTAAATAGGCAAGAGGCAAAAGGGAGAAGTTGCCCTGTTCGGATCCGACCTAGGTTTGTGCCTCGGTGACCACGAGGTGGGGCACTACGTTAACGTACCGTGGGAGAAGCTGCTCTAGTACTAAGTTAGGAATGTTCCAAAGGAACGTGAGAGGAGATTAAACCCCAGACAGATAGCTCTAGCATTTCATTTTACGGTCTGCCACGATTGCTAAGCACGACACCGAATAAGGCATCTAAGAAAAGGTTTCATACCTAAGCATTTCCAAACTGGATTTAACACAAAAAGTTGGCACAGAGAGATGTAATAACTCTATAGAAGGAGCAACAACTGCCTTAGCAAAATAACTGTTCATTTCATCGTGCTCTCTTCCAGTTCACCCTTGATCGCATTCCCCGGAGCCGTGAGGTTAGACAGTCGTGGGCCTCCTCTGTGCTGACAACGCTGTACTCCACGCTTTACTCCCTCCTTTTGACCTACAGGCGGAAACCAGATTTGGTAGGTAAAGTCAATTTTAACTTGGTGGGAACTTGCTGTTCTGCATCCTAGAAGCGTTCGGAATATCAAGACTATCTCATACACAGACTTCCAGTTCGCAGGAAAAGCATTTTTGAATGTAAAATTAAAGCTGAAAGAGCTATAGCAGCAATACACCAAGAGAAAACAGGCTGCACTGCCAGTGAATTAGAGCAGCAAATACCAGTTTCCCCTCTCAAAGCCTGCAGACAACATCAGAGTGTGTCACTCCCTTGTTAATACTGGTAGAGCCAACACAAACCAGGTTGCAGGTTCTTGATAATATCTCTTTGGGATTGCAACAGCACCAACTGTGCCTGAAAGCCTGCTAATCCTGTTGGCTCGTCTTACTCCCAAAATGGCATGACCAGTCAGGAACATGCAGAAATGCACAGAGATCCTGTTCTTGTGCTTCCATGGACTTCTCAGCTGCATGCATGTTTGTTTAGTCTTTGGCTGACTGACATTATCTCATCTAATGACAAGAAACATCACTGCTGAAGCGGCAACTCCTCAGCGCTTCAGTAACTTTTCCAAGCTGTTCACCAAGCTCCACTCATGTTAGTTACAACATTTATTTAGAAGCCTTCCACACACTTAATCAAGTCTGAAGCATTCAGGGTTGTCAGATTACAGAACTAAAATAGATCTGTTCAATCAGTTTAGTAGCAGCATATATGCACCCACAGAGGATGTTTGTAAGCAGACTTGTTTTAGCTCTCTCTGTGAACTGTATGGCTAATCCTAAAGAGGCTCTTTCACATTTGCAATACTTTGAATGTTTAGAGAATCTGCTGTGAATAATTTGATGTCATTGGCTTCAGCAGTACTGCTTTGGTTCCTATCAGATCAAAAGCTGCTTGCTTGCTGGAGTTTCCTGAGCACTTTAGTGTGCAGAACAACAGAAGCAGCTTTTTGCAGTTCTTGTTTTTCGAGCCTATCTGAAAACTGGAGGTGAAGTTGGGAGGGAGGAAGAGGTGGCATACCATTCTTTTTACAGTGATTTTAATTGGGGGTGAGGGGAGGGAGTAGTAGAGGGGTGTTTACATGAAGCAGACATCTTTAGAGCAAATGTGAGTAGCATATTTAGGAATCACTTTGCCACGTCACTGGGTTTGGGTACTGTCAATATTTTAACTTATTATTGCAAAAAAATCTGGCAAAAAATCTCACTATGTAGCTTAGTATGTTACCAAAAGTATATTACTCAGGGATTAAAATGCTTCACCAGTGAAAAGATTGTGTGGTATGGGAAGCAACTGGTAACAGTGAATTGCCTTTAGAAGAAAAGGTTAGTGGTGAATTGCAGCTCCCCCTACTCGAGCCAAAATGCAATGCTTAGTAGTTAAAAACACACAAACAGAAAGGGTGGGACAAATGCTGGTGTTTACAGGACTCATCTATGAGTTCTGGCACAGAAGTCACCACCCAAGTTTAGAATAAGCACAGTATTACATCATGCTGAGAACTTGCTATTTTTAAACAGTCAAGCTTATGGGTACTGTGCATTTCCAGTCTTGGCAACTGGTTTTGTTTAACTGGAGGAGGGAAAGACAAATTTGAACTACTTGTAAGTCATTTGTATGTGTGAATGATTCCCAAATCTTTACACCAGCTTTTAGGCTTGTCAAAAATGTGTGTAGGTTTGAAATCTTCTTCAGGCACCCAAAAGCTAGAGAAAAGCAGAAATGTTGCAGTTTTCAAGGCATGCAGGACAAGAGAAGTACTGCAAAGGAAGCCTGAAACCATTAGGTGCACAAAGGCAAGATCTGGAGCAGATAGGCTTAGGCTGGCATAACTAGCATATCTGTGAAGCCAAAATAGCTGTCAAGGGGAAACAGCAAACCTAGCTGCACAGGAGTTATTCTATATGTGCTTATTTACATGAGCACTGTGTCCCCTTTGTATCTCCCACTGATCTTCTGGCAAAGCTTCTTAGTTTACTTTGCATGAGAAAACAGTTCCATCTAACCCTTCTTCAAGATAGTGAGTTCAGAAAGAGCTGAACAACTTCCAGGAGACCTTTGCTGTCTCGCAGGACTTGACCCATATTTGAAATGGGCCCCCAGGGAGTTTTAAGACATGTAAAAGTTAGCTTAGTTGTTCAGTTTGAGATCATCTTCAAGAGGCCCATTTCCGAGCTACAAACATCTGCTTTCTGCAAAGTTAAGTCCCTTTAGAGATATTAAATCAAGTAACAAGATGTCAGAAGTCATGATCAGCTTGTTTTTCTATAGCTAAGGATTACGGAATACAGGTGTTGGAGTGTTTTGCAGGCACACGTATGCTGGGCAGTTTTTACAACATGCCAGCCTTAGATAGGCTTCCTATACAGAGGCCTAAAATTCCAGGAAAGACAGACTTGTGCCAGCACTCTTTGCCTACACCTTCTTTCCCCAGAAAAGCTTTTAAAACCATCAGTTGCAGACAGATTTAATATGTCCTCATAGCCTTAAAGACTGCAAATTCCTACCATGAAAACAGTTGGTCAGAGAAGACTTTTACTGCTTTCATTGAGAGGCTGAGAAGAAACATAAAACCAGAATAAGATGTTAGATCTACTGTCTAGGGAAAGGTGCAAATTACACCCATTTAGTTACAGAAAATTAGACAAGCTACAATTGTCTTTTTCACAAAGACCGTTACTGAATGTTGCATAGATTTGATGTCCAAGAAGGAATAAACTAATGTTCCAGCCTTCCTATAATATGTACTATGCGAGTAAGTAGAGGAAACCAATCTCCAGTTCTCCTGCTGCTTACAGAACTATTGTCATTGTCTCTAGGCTGACTTGCAAACCCTGAAACCAGATCTTCAGGTGACTTAGTCCTTGGGCTGTATTTGCCAATATGTGATTATTCCAGTCATTCTGGCACACCTGAAATTCAAACTGAAAACAAAGAACGTGGGTGCACCATGCAGCAGAAAGCTGTACAGAGATTGCATCCAGTCCTTGTTCTCAGCAATGTTACTTGGTCTGTGATGTGCTCTCCTCTAATACAATGAAATTTCACCTAGAACTGTGCCAAAATGCTGCAGAAAGCTCCACTCAGTAGCACACTGCACATCCTGGATCCCTGGGACCAGACTTCATTCGCTTTTCTGGGGACAGTTCTTAGCAGTTCCTGCTGCCTTAGTGCTCTACAGAGCCTGAAATAAGCAGATCTTTTCAGATCACTGCTATTTGGGAAGAGCTGGGTTAAATCAGGCAAAGAAGGCAGTCCTTCCAGAATAGGGCCTCCTTCCCGTGGGAAGGCCGTAGTAAGTAGTTTACATTTGCACAGCAAGTACAACAAGCTCTGCTGTCTCCTTCCCCACCAGCTGTCAGCTGAGTGAGTCTCTCCTTCTTACACTTCTTTCTAGAAGCCTGAAACCTGCTCAGCTGATTATGCTTCCAGCAGTCTATGACTGCACATCCCATCACACATGCCTGCTCCCCTGCCTGGTTAAATTCACTACAACAAGCTTCTAGAGCTGGTACAGAAGTGTTCACACACTAAGCTATATGAAAGGGGATCATTATTTCCTTTAGCTAAGTTTTTCCATTCTTTGTGCCCTGCCCACAGATGTCTTTATTTCATAGCACTTTAACAAATGACTAGGACAAATAGTAAGTTATTGTCCCTTATATCACAGTTCTTATTAGAACTTTGTGGAAAGCTACAGAATCTGGGTGGTGGCATTTTTTCCTCTATTCACTCTGTAACAAGTGAACTTTGTATAATGCAGTATCAAGACTATCTGGTGCATTCTTTTGCGTGCTGAAGTTTTCCCCACTATTTATAACCCTTTTGGACCAGATTGACAATATGTCTGATCTACTCTTGTTCTTCTAGGATCAAAACAGTCAAAATAAGCGAGAGTAAGAACACTGGCTTAAAACCTTCAGTGATTCAAATCCTGTAGTCTAAAAAGGAAACAAAAGCCACTGAAATTTAACTTCTCAGTGTTAATGAAAGTATGAGTCTTACTCACCCTTCCTCAACTACCTTGTATGCTGTGTACAGCTGCCCTGCAGCCACAAGGTGGAATTACCTTTTGCTGAACACAGATAAACATCTAAAACTACCCACACGTTTAGTTTAAAGCTAGGTTGCTGCTCTGCTCTTTCTGTGACTGCCAGTTAGACCTGTAGACACTCTGCATTTCAGAGGAGGACAGAAGTAGCAGTAAAGATGAACTGAGAGCTTAGATTTAAGCAGAGGTTAAACCAAAGACTATTCAGTCTTAATTCATCGGCTCTCAGCTTCATTGTGAACCTAATGAATAACCTGGTCACATTCCCATTTATAAAGCATGGTTTCAAGTAAACAGTCTTGCTACATCTGACCACTGAACCAGGCCACTGGTATCAGATACAGAGGGCTAGTATCTCTAGATTGTGCATTATGAAGACATTTCAGACAGGTATTTGATGTGGATTCTCACTATATCAACTGCAGTGATTAGGCAGTAGACTCAAAGATGTTTATATACATATAAAATACCAGTTTTAGCTAACCTAAAATATTGCTGTTGAGCTCTAGTTAAGAGAATGCCTAACTAATGAAAGACACATTGAGATTTGCAATTAAAGTTTAGGCCACTAGTAGTAATATGTATGATTATATTTAACAGTCTTTTGACTTGATTTCTCCTCTCAAATAGATGCAGGCTACTATACTAAGCAGTACCTTTTAGTATCAGGAGATAAGCCATTACTTTTAAATAGGCTCTGAAAATTTCTATAGTACTTCTCATGGTGCTCTGACCAAGATGCTTCAGTCAGGTTCAGACTCAGCCAAGGTGACACTTAGAACAACAACTGCTTGCTGAAAGACAGTCACTAGCTAGTACCTAGTGATTGTAGCTACAGATGTACTTCAGTACCCACCATTTCATTTATATAGCAAAAGCCTTTTACTGAATTTGTTTGTGACCAACTTTTTCATCCACACAAAGTCAGTTTTCCTTTACTTCCTAATAATTTATCAGCAGAAATA